AATTGAAGCTTCTTGGCTTCAATTATTTACACCAAAAAGTTCTTTGCTTTGTTCCTTTGAGAAGACAAAATTCGGTTTCTGCTTTGTGCTAAAACATCTTCCTACTTTGTGAAATCCATCTTTTGTTCTTCATGCCTTGGTGTGCCCAAGTGATTCTCCAAATTGGTGTTGCCTTTGTGGTGGTGGATTAAGATTTCTGAGCCTAAGAAAAATGGGAATTAATTGTTCTTGAATATTAGTTTCTTCATTTGATTTCTTTTGAATATTCTCATTATTTTTATAACATATTTTTTGATTTGTTCAACTGTAGGTGTAATTAGACTTACAAATTGGTATCAGAGCTTGGTGGGGAATCAAAAATTGAAGGAAACTGAAGAAAATAGAAACTGGAAGAAGAACAATGAATTTTTCAAAAAACCAGACATGCAAATCCAATTTTCGAACAAACGGCTTGCTTGAAGAAGAAATGGAGGCCAATTCAGACTCAGCAGGTGGAGGAGAAGCTGCCTGGACGTTGCGTGGTGGTCGGCGACGACGTGTGCAGCGGCACGTGTGCAATCCGACGAAGGTTTCTTCAGACGGAATTTTTATTTTGAAATTTCTAACATTCCCGTGTTGTTTGTTTTTCGTTTCCGGTACTGAAGCAAATGTTGGACGATTTTGCCCTGGTGGGTCACCACTCGAAATTGTCATATACATCTATTGAATTACTTTAGGCCAAAATAGGGCCCTAAAGCAGTAAATTCGCATCTATCCTATTTTACGGACTACAGAGCTGGTCCGCTCTGCTAAATTGGTTGAAAACTTTTACATTATCGCACTAACAGATCATCGTATTGGGTGATCATTAGGATTGTGGATTGTCATTGCTTGGTAATCATTGCTTGTTGGTAGAACCTAAGATTACTTGCCATTATCTGTTTAATTTCTAAGTGAAATTATTTATTTATTGTCTTTAGATTTATTTGTTAAACGTTGTTATCTCATATTATTTTAGACTTGTACCCGAACTCCTATTCTAGTTTCTTCCCTTGACCTGAGAACAAGAGTTTCATGGAATCCAAAGGTTCTA